CTCCACATCTCCAGAGGGGTCGGCGCTCTCCACATCTCCAGAGGGGTAGGCGCTCTCCACATCTCCAGAGGGGTCGCCTCCATGGTCGACGCACGCTGCAGTTCTCCAGAGCCCCAAGTCCTCTACGCCGTCTACGCCGCCAGACTTGGCCTCTACGCTCTCCTCGCTGCTAGACGCGACCTCCGGGGTCTCTTCACCGCCAGCTGTGGACTCCAAGCCCTCTTCGCCGCCTGCCGCGGCCTCCAAGTCGTCATCGTCGCCTGCCGCGGTCTCCAAGGTCCTACGTGATGGACGGCCGCCCCCCCTGAACGTGGGTCCCGTGATGGACGGCCTCCCGGCCGCCCCCCTGAACGTGGGTCCCGTGATGATGGTGGGTCTCCTGAACAATGACTCCAGGGACTCTTGACCGTTCAGATCTTTTGTGTTTTTCCTGCTTGTGTCTTGCCTTAGTTCTTTCAGGTCCTTGTGTTCTTCCTTGTGTTTCCTCTGGCCCTCCACCCTTGCAGTGCCGCCCTCCACCCGCCCAAGTCCTTCGGGAGGGTTTTTTTTTGGGGACACCTGGAGGTGTCCTTGAGGGGGGGTACTGTAAGGATGGTACCATTTGCTGGTTCTGTTTGTGTCTGTGTTTCCTTAGTGTTTCCTCGTCAGTTTAATTGGTGCCACCTTTGTCTCGTCACAGCTGTTGTAATCACATCTTGTCTTGTCCTTGTATATAAGCCTCCTGTTCTGTTTTGTTCCTCGTCGGGTCGTATTCGTTGGGTCTTCATGTTTCCTGCGTCTCCTGAGTCTTCCCTGAGCTTCCTGAGTCCTTTTGAGTTTCCCCCTGAGTCTTCTAGTTCATGTAAGTTTTGCTGCCACGTCAGCTTATTGTTTTGTTACCTTTTATTTTGTCATTAAAGTATTTAGTTTTTTAATTTGCCGAGTTGAGTCCTGTCTGCACAACTGGGTTCGTTCCTGTCCACCAAATCCTGACACTAAGCAAAAACACAGATCCTTCCATTTTTAGTGCCCTGTGTCACAAAGGTACATCACACAAATTATAATCCTGCCATAACAGAAGAGACTGTAAATTGCAAAACAAGAATAAATCTCATTCTCTAGACTATCTTTTATTACAGAAATGTTTGTGTAGAGTTTGATTACAGTCTCAGTCATCCAAAGTCAAAGCAGCTAACAAGTTCTTACAAGTGGTTTGATAAATTTGTCACTCTTTATAGTACAATTTGTCTGGCCTAAAGGATTAAGTTCCAATGTCAGTTTTACAGAGGTCCCATTCACCTGGCACAGTAAATAAATATGAATATATGAAGCTAAATGAATATGTTGACTGCTTACCACTTTACAGCTGACTGGTTTACCATTCATGTCAGTGGCAGGAGGAGTCAAAGGTTCCCAGTCACGCCCTTTGTTATAAGTGATAAGAGTTGTCACTTTACCATCGATCTTCTGGTTGGCCAAGAAAACTCCTTTGACTCCACGTACCTGGGAAACAAGATGGATTTAAAATTACCAAAAGGAACCAAAACTTCCAAACTTATTTAAAGTTAATCTAAGGTATAAATGGTGATGGGTACACCTATAGTCTATTGACATCCATTTATGCCTTATATTGAAAGCATGTCAGCAAATATTATTGTGTGGTTGTCATAAATGCCTGTCTGGTGTGCGCGTGTCTGTATGGCTGATCTGGTGTGGGAGGGGTAAAGTGGGAGTGGATTTTGTTATGTCTGTAATTTTTTTTGTTTGTTATAATTGTGTGTTCTGAAAAAAAAAATCAATAGAGCAACTTTGATTAAAATGAGTTTTGATGCCTGGCTGAAACAATGATGAAATGAGTTTTCCTTACAGGATGAAACAATCAAATGCTCCACCTGGTAAGGCATTGATTGACTGGTCCAATGGGCTGAAACATTTTGAAGTTGTTCAACCATTTAAATGACTGGTGTTCATGAACATGCAAGCTCCATTCTGCTGCTAAAGACCCTTATCCAGTGCGTATGTTTGATTAACAGCTGGTTAACAACAACATTAGGAAATAATTGTGCTTTTAAAAAAAAAAATCTTTAACTAATTTCACTAAAGACCGATGCGTTTTGGTGTGAATGTTGCTCACAGAAAAGGAAAGTCATAAAGAGACCTAATTGCACATAGTTGGATTAGGTCTTAAAATGGGATTTATAGATAATAAGATTATTAAAATAATTTTAGACATTATCCTCTTAAGTGTGACTAAGTGGTGCTTTTTAAAATGCTAGTGTTTTCACACTGACTGGTTATGGAACGTTATCTGGATGGGCAAAATCTAGCTTCAGCTTTTTTCACAGCTTACACAAATTACATACATTATTCTAGTAAATTGTGATTGCTCATTTGAAAGAAAACCATCGCATGTGATGGAGAGGCTTTCTACCATCTCACCTCCAGGATGTCAATGAGGACATTCGCCTCTGGCTGCTTGGTGCTGCGCACATTTTCCAGGATCATGGAGTAGTAAACACCTTGAAGGTCTGATTGGTACAGATTATACGTGTCGGACTGGTACCACTCTTGGAGGGCGAGGAAAACTTGTTTCCCATCTGTACTCACTATCTGAACATCCTGAAAGTGAGAAACAAAACAGAAATTACGTTAGAAAGTATATATTATTTCTGTGCTCATAACAAATATGAATGAATAAAACAGAGGTGCAAGAAAAGTGAAGCAAAAGCAATAAGCCTGAGGAAAGAACAATAAAACAGAAAACAGAAAGAATAGTCAATGTGGAAAGACGATGAGGCATTATTCAAACTGAAAAACTGCATTAATGTAAAAATAAATCCCCCAGGGGTCTCGGTATGGTATTTAGACATAAATTACCAACACAGTGGGCTCTCCATTGCACGCAACAAAGTTTCATCAGTCCATAATGTTTTTAGGCATGCACAAAACTTCTGTAGTGAGGCTGTGGTGGTTAATTATCATGGTGTCAGAGTACTGAGGTCCTGCTGAGCATGAGGAGAGCATGGTGACTGTATATTCATAATACTGGGCCTTGGCTTGCCTTGAATGTGAAAAATTTGAAGCAGGAATGGTAAATGGATTGTACTGATATATCACCTTCCTATCTTATCAAGATACTCAAAGTGCTTTACACTACACTCTGTGCCCTCATTTACCCATTCATACAGCACTCTACTAGATCTATACAAAGACTAATCAGAGCTTTATCATATTCATACACCGACGAGACACACATTGGAGGCAATGAGGGGTTCAGTGTCTTGCCCAGGAACACTTTGGCATGTTACTGCTGGTGGAATCTAACCCCCAACTCTTGCAGGACGACTGCTCTAACCACTCAACCACAGCTGCCCCACAAAGACTGGCCTTGTTCATTCCTCATTCACATCATGGTCAGGATGAGCATGAAAAAGGGTGGATGTGATGGTGGTTTTGCACAGGAAAGTCATCCATATGCAATAACGCACTGCTAAATAAAGAATAAGAAACAATAAAGAACCTTGAATCCTTGGATCTTAAATGGTGTTTCCTCTTCCAAACTGAGGTTCAAATTCATGATTGAGGCCCAGAAACATAACACATATACAATATTCAAGACAAAATTGAAGATTGTGTCAAAGTCATGGAAACAACCCAGCACAAACATGATACCTGATGTAGAAGTGTTTAGCTTGAATAGTGTGATCTTCTTACTCATAACTGAGTCATAGTATATTCTGAAAGAGTTGGGCTACTAATGCAGATAAGGTGCAAGAGTGTGTTTCTTAGACACAACAAGTAGCAGAAAAATACACATTTGGTAAGTGCCAAAAGCGTGGCAGCATCATGATTTCCCTGAAACTAAAGAAAATTTTGTAAATTTGCTGCAACCCAGCCTTGTTCTAAAAGGTTGTGTGGGTTGTGGAAAGTGAAGGCTTGTCAAAAAGAGTGAAGGGGGACCAAGATATATATATATATTTAAATACATTTGTGCATAAAACATTTCTTAAAGCAGTAAAACACAATGTTTCACAAATACTTACTGCCAACTGCAACTCAAATCTGATTAAAATAAAAAAACAACCAAGAGTCACCTTTTGAAAAGTGATTTGTAGCAGATTGGAAAACTTGATAAGTGTACTCTTGAATCTGTTGAGGAAAATGGCTACATCACTCTTGAAAGAGCCACACAAGAGTCTCAGCACTTTCTCTGTGTTAGTGATTGCATTACCATATCATTTGGAAGCAAAACTATCAGAGTGTACAGAAAAGTGCCCTAGAGGGTGGATGTGTATTTATTAACACTCTTCCATCTTGCTCAGTAAAAAAAAAAATAAATAAACACTCTGACTTAAGTAGCTATGGATTTATGATTGTCGTTCCAAGTAATAGAAACAACTGAAACATGTACATCAATCTTCATTTTTATGAACATTATGGATCTGAAGCAATAATTAATAAAACATTAAAAACAAATACAAACTGCATTTAGGAAGACAAACTGGTAGTTTTTATCCATCCATCCATCCATCATCTTTTACCTTATTCTTCCTTGCTGGGTCATGGGAGGTAGGTTTTACATATTAAAAAAAATAAAAACACTAATATGAATACAGAAAACAGAAAATCCCCCCAAATAAAAAAAACCCAAAACAGCTGGACTTCAGTTGTGTAGTTGAAGATGTTTTGATTCCTGTCCGGGGAACTTTGTAAATTTAAAACTACAGATATCCTGATGCATGCTCAATAATCCAGGTAGAAAAATCCAAAAAAGTTCAATCTGGTCCTCTGGACATTCAAAAAAACCCAAAAAACAAAACAAAGCAAAAAATATAGAAACGTTTCGTCTATCATCCAAGAGACTTCCTCAGTCTGAGGTGCTGTTTTCAGCTCAGTCTCTTAAACAGCACCTTCTCAGAGTGGATCAACCAGTTTGCTGCTGACAACCAAAACCAGCTGCTCACATGCTCAAGGAGGACCATCAGCCTAACAATGGATCATTAGCACACTGATGGCTGTTTACTACTCACAGAGGGCTGAGTGATACTAGCAATCACAGCATTGTAAGAGGGGGACAGTTGAACCCGGAGGCCTCCACCCCTGTTTAATGATGGACGATTTCTTTTCACAAAGATGGCCTCCTTTACTTCTCTCTCAAACCATCGTTCCTCTCTGTCCAGGATGTGAACATCTTCATCCCTGAAAGAGTGACCGCTGGCCTGGAGATGAGTGTAGACTGCAGAGTCCTGGCCTGATGATGTTGATCTTCTGTGCTGGTCCATCCTTTTGGCCAGTGGCTGTTTTGTTTCCCCGATGTAAGACTGATCACAGCCCTCCTGACACTGAACAGCATACACAACATTACTCTGTTTGTGCCGGGGGACTGGATCTTTGGGATGAACCAGTCTTTGCCGTAATGTATTTTGGGGTTTAAAAGCCACTGGGACGTTATGTTTAGAAAATAAACGTCTCAGTTTCTCTGATACTCCCTCAACATACGGAATGACCACTGGTCTGGGTCTGGGTTCCTCCTTTTCACCTGATGGCTGACTGGAGTCCTGTTTGGGTTTCTTCTCTGCTTTCAGGAAGGCCCAGTTAGGATATCCACATTGCTCTAGAGCCTGTTTTGTGTAGGATTTCTCCTGCCTGGCTCCTGAGCTAGTGGGGATGCTGTCTGCTCTGTGATACAAAGTCCTGATGACTCCTAACTTGTGCTCCAAAGGGTGATGGGAGTCAAACTGCAAATACTGGTCTGTGTGGGTGGGTTTGCGGTACACCTCGGTTTGCAAATGTCCTCTATCAGAGACTGAGACCTCACAGTCCAAGAAAGCCAACTTGCCATTTTTTACATCTTCTCGTGTGAACTTGATGTATTTATCCACAGAGTTGATGTGGTCAGTGAAATTTTGGACTTCCTGAGATTTAATTTTAACCCAGGTGTCGTCAACATACCTGAACCAATGACTTGGTGGTGTCCCTGAAAAGGACGTCAAGGCTCTCTTTTCTACCTCCTCCATGTACAGGTTGGCAACAATAGGAGAAAATGGAGACCCCATAGCACACCCATGTTTCTGCCTATAATATTGCTCCCCATATGTGAAGTAGGTTGACTGCAGGCACAGTTTCAAGAGTTGACACAGTTGTTCTGTGGAAAGCGTGGTCCTGCTGCTCAGAGTGGTGTCTGATTTTAATCTTAAACTGACCACCTCTACTGCATCATCAACAGGAATGCACGTAAAGAGTGATGTGACATCAAAAGAGACCATTGTTTCATCAGTCTTCATGATGACATCCCTCACCTTATCCACAAAGTCCATGGTGTTCTGTATGTGATGTTCTGAGCTGCCAACTAAAGGGATGAGTACAGACGCCAGATATTTGGAAACATTGTAAGTGACAGAGTTAATTATGCTAACGATCGGTCTTAAAGGTACACCTTGTTTGTGGATTTTAGGTAAACCATACAGACTAGGTGTGGCCTCCCCTGGGTACAGTCTGTGGTACAGAATATGGTCAATAGCCTTGTCCTGCTCCAAATTTTTCAGGCAATCTATTAACTTCTTCTTGTAACCACTTCCTGGATCTCTTTTCAGAGGTTCATGAACTCTGTGCCTTTCTAACCATTCTGTTTAAGACTTTCTGGTGTGCTTTGGATTATTCTTCTGTTTTTCATGAACCAGGTTAGTACAATCTTCAGCTGTCAGACAGATGGCTTCACATTTGACACTAGATTGGTTTACAGATGATGATCCTTTCACGATCAGTTTAACAACTGCAAGGAGCCATGGTCCTGTGGCTGCAAAACAAGTCCAAATCATCAAACCGCCACCATTGTGCTTTACAGCTAGGATGAGGTGTTCGTCCTGCTGTGCTGTATTTAGTTTTGTGACAGAAGAATGCTGTACATTATACGTAAACATTTCTACTTTGATATCATCTGTTCAAAGAATATTGTTCCAGAAATTTTGTATGTCATACAGATAACTTTACAAACTTAAGTCAAGCTTCCTGATCTAGAGTTAAGAGACTTTCTCTTGGCAACCCTCCCAAAAATGTATTACCTAGTCAGTCTTTTTCTGTCTATCTTGTCACATACTCTGACCTTTAACGTGCTAACTAAGGGGCCTGTAGAAGTTAAGATGGAGATCTTGTTCTTCCTCAGAGTATTACACAGTCTGACCACGGAGTGAATTTGCTGAGAAGAATAGCAGCTGTCTTAAGTGTTTTCCAATTGCAAATATTTTTTTTTTCTTTGTGGAATGATGGATCTAAGTTCTTTGGAAATGACCTTTCATGTCTTCCCAGATTGATGGGCAACAAAAATGGCTTTTCTTAAAAAAAAAAAAAAAATTAAAAAGATTGCCTTCTTCTCATTGTGTTAGCACATAAACACATGTAAATTCGTCAGAATAATAAACTTCTAATACTTGTTTTCTCAAGATACTTTGCCTTTCTTATCATCAGTCAAACACATCCAATCAAGTTATAGATTTAGCATGCAGATATACCAAAAAAAACCTCTAGCAACTAATAACTGCTGTTAAACACAACACTAGGCCTGTAATACACATCACTTTTTGTTTGTATTTTATTCAACCTTTATTTATACAGGTAGTCTCATTGAGTCACAAGGATTCATTTTCAAGAGAGACCTGTTTTGGAGCAGATGGTGCGGTTTAATGGTCTTGCTCAAGGGCCCAGAGTGTGGCAAATGAGAGTGGAGGCAGGATGTTTCACATTTTCCACCCACATTTTGATGTTATCGGTCCGGGGAGTCGAACCAGCAAACTTCCAATCACAGGTCCACCATCTCTAACCTCTGCGCCACCATTCCCAAAGGGTGTCTAAACAGCACCCATGCACTTCTCTAGCACAGAGGCTTACAGTAAGCAAGTTTCTTTGGGCTGCTCCTTCCTTCAGGGGTCACCGGAGCAAGCTAACTCGCATAAAAGTTTTGGAAATTTAGTTTTATGCCGGATGCCCTTCCTGATACAACCTGGGATCGAACCTGCAACCTCAGGAGTACAAGACCACGGCACTGACCACCAAGTTACCACATTCACCTCCATCATTATGTCTGTCTAAAATATGATGAAAAAATAAACTAGCTTTTGACCTGACTGAACATTGTTAGATTTTATACCTGGATTGTTGAGCATGAACTTTGGTGTTTTGAACCACTTTGGCATGACTGTCTCAGAGGAGTTGACGGGGGAGATGACGGGCCCCGGAGGCCATTTTAGCACCAGCAAACTGGTTTTTTTTTCACTATGGAGTGTGCTTTTTGTGGGAATCAATCCTGTTTGTTGGTGGCTCCGCAGATCAAAGAAGTCCTTTGGATGAAGGGCAAAACATCTCAGCAAAAAAAGAAACCATCTAGATAACCTGACTGAACATTGTTGGATTTTATACCTGGATTATTGAGCATGATCTTTGGTGGAAAATGGCTTTTGACATATTCTGATGCATGCTCAATAATCCAGGTAGAAAAATCCAAAAAAGTTCAATCTGGTCCTCTGGACATTAAAAAAAAAACAAAAAAAAAAAAACAAAGCAAAAAAATATAGAAACGTTTTGTCTCTAATCTGAGAGACTTCCTCATTCTGAGGTGTTGTATACAGCTCAGTCTGCTCAGCAAAACTGGTTGATCCACTCTGAGAAGGTGCTATTTAAGAGACTGAGCTGAAAACAGCACCTCAGACTGAGGAAGTCTCTCGGATGAGAGATGAAACGTTTCTATATTTTTTTGCTTTGTTTTTTTTTTTTTTTTTTTTTTTTGAATGTCCAGAAGACCAGATTGAACTTTTTTGGGCTTTTGACATATATTTATTTTCTTTTTTTTAGTAAAAACCTCATCATAAACCATGACCTCAAAACTGAGGTATGCGCCAAACCATGTATTCTCTGTGCTATTACATCACTAACAGATAATGTTTTAGGTCATCTGATGTCTACTCAACCTGTATTACACGAACAAGCTCCTATCAATAAACTTAGTTTGACTTATTGTACTGATAATCTGTGCTGTTCAAAACAGTCTTGATTGTTGGTGTTACTTATAGCCAAATAACTTAATACATTAAATATGGTGAACCAGCTTTGCAGTATTGGCCTATGGTGTTCTGCTGGCCCTGAAGGTATGCTTTTGGTCTCTAATCTCATTTTGATAAAAACGAAAACAAATAAATAAAAAACAACAACAAAACACAAAAGCTGATTACATCTTGAGTGGAGACAACAAAAAAGGTGGTAGAAACTGAGCCAAAAAAGACAATTATTATCTGTGATTTCACAGCCCAGCAATTTCTACATGTGCATGTGTGTATGTATATGTGTTGGTGTGTGTGTGTGGGATGGGTGTGTGTGTCTGTGTACAGGACAGAACTAATCAGTTTCCTCTGAGGGCCTCTGCATTTTTTCATTTTCAAGTTTTTCAATTATTCACAGCTGAAAAACAGGGCAACACTCCTGCCTTAAACACGTCTGTGTGTATGTGTGAGTGTGTGTGTGTGTGTGTGACAGAGAGCGAGAGAGAGAGAGAGAGAGAGAGAGAGAGAGAGAGAGAGAGAGAGAGAAAACCCTGCACCACATGTCGTTCTACCTAAAAGGTTTGCTAAATGTGACCTGCTCACCCAAGCAGGAGGGCACATGTGCAGAGAGGAGAGACGAAGCACAGAGAGCAACTAGGGCAGATTTTAACCCAACACACAACGCTTAAACTGCCTTCTTACCATACCTAATCAAATTCATTCCATTTTTTGTCCATGTGCTGGATAAAAAAAAATGTGTGTGTGCAATTTAATCACTTTGACACTCACCTTTTGTAAGGACATCTGAGTGCTGCAGTCAACAACTGAGACATAATATCAGTCTGTGTAGGGGGCTGAAGCCAAACAAGAGTAACTATGTGTGTGTGTGTGCTACTATTTCCTAGAAGTCTTTCCTGACAGATTGTCAATTTCAGTGATTGTTATAAAAAATTGTTTCCTATTTTTTGAAGCTGAATTTATAATCATGAAACATCTCCCTGGGCTCTGGATTTAATCCACATAGTTCAATTGCACTCTGGCTGGTGTTGCATTAAAGTGGGGCCCTTGCGCCGCTGAGGCTGTCAGCAAATGTTCCTGCCTGACCTTGTCTTTAAGACAACCTCATTTATCGTCTTTGCCTATCTCAGTGACACGAGACACGGAACAGATCAATGCAAAGTTGTGAATATTTTATGAGGTGTATCGTGTACTCACCTGGTACCAAGGTTTGTTTTTTTTAGAGTAAGAACAACACTGACACTTGGCAACAAAGTGATTAAAAAAAATGTGGGAAAATGGATTTCTAGCTTGCAAGTTTAAAACCTTGGAGTGATGGATGTGCAATTTTGCTTTTAAAATCTTGAACCGCTCAATGGGGAATCAAGTTTTCAGCAGTGCAGTAGATGTGCCTTTCTGAACTAGATTTTATAGAAAGTCTTGGTTTATGAGGCAAAGTTCATCTATTCTGTTGCAAATAGTGATAAAATATATTTTATTTACTTTACCTGTGCTCCAATTACATGGGTATCACTCTCCTTAGATTCCCTGGTAGGTCTATTTATGGGTACTGGAGAAGTGAGTCCGATCAATGGTCGAAACTCAGATCCAGGAGGAACAATGCGGGTTCCATCCTGGCCATGGAACACTGGACCAGCTCTTTACCCTCACTAGGGCCATCGAGGGGTCATGGGAGTTTACCCATCCAGTCTACATGTGTTTTGTGGACTTGGAGAAGGGCTTTCAATCGTGTTCCTCAAAGTACACTGTGGGGGTGCTCCGTGAGTATGGGATTGGGGGCCCGTTGCTATGGGGCTGTTCGGTCCCTATATAAGTGGTGCAAGAGTTTGGTATGCATTGCCGCTAGTAAGTCGGACCCCTTCATGATGGGAGTTGGACTCTGCCAGGGCTTCCCATTGTCAACAATTCCGTTCATAACTTTTATGGAAATAATTTCTTGGTGCAGCCAAGGGGTGGAGGGTTTCCAGTTTGGTGGCCTCAGGGTTCCTTCTCTGCCATTTGTGGATGACGTTGCACAAATGGCGTCATTGTGCTGTGATCTTCAGCTCTCAATGGAGTAGTTCACATCCCATTGTGATCAGTGCAGCTTCTGCAGTATTGTGGACTCTGGGCCAGTCCATTGTGGTCAAGAGGGCAAAGAGTTTTAAGACAAAGCTCTCTGTTCACCTCTCTGTTTTTTTTTTTTTGTATTGAAAGTTTTTTTAATTCTCTGTTTACCGGTCAGTCTACGTTTCTACCCTCACCTATGGTCACAAACTTCAGGTAGTGACTGAAAGAACAAGTTTGCAGATGCAGTTGGTTAAAATGATTTGTTTTCCGCAGGGTAGCTGGACTCTCCTTTAGAGATAAAATGAGAAGTTGAGTTGCCCTGGGAAGACCTCTGAGTCCTCCCATAGAGCTTGAGGAGCATGATAGGAAAATAGATGTCTGGGCCTCCCTTCTTAAGCTGATGCTCTGACAACCTGACTCTGGAACAAGTGGGATATAATTGAAAGATTGGGATGAAATGGAATGGATTGAATTGAATGGGATGGGATGGAAAGGGTTGATGGGTTGATGGATGGCTGGATGAGAAATTTTAGAGATTTTTAGAGAGGTTGACTTGAAAGTCATCCATCGGAAATGTTAATTGTAAAACACAACCAAAAAGACAACAAAAAGAACTTGGTTGCTCTCTGGTAAATGTCCTGGTAAATATGCCACCAAAACTAATTAGTCAGTCATCAAAAAAGACATTGTTAAGTAATAGGTTTTGTTGCCTGTGAGCCAATGAAGATAGAATAACCAAAAGTGTTTTGGTTTCCAGGTCTTGATAGCCTTATAACAGTTGTTCAGAGTTGAAAGATGAAAGGAAGTTGTGCACTTACATTGAAAGTTGGGTGTTGGCATACTAACACAAATGTCTAGCCAAAAAAATGTTTTCATGGAGAAAAATATTGATACACACAAACTGGTGTTTTGATGCACTCAGAAATACTACTCATGTCATTCTTAGACTGACAATGGTACTAAAGAGCAGTTCAGTTAAAGTATTCTTTACCTTGGGCAAGGCATACTTGGGAAACCTCATCAGGACAAACTCATTGCGCCGATAGGACACATAATGTTTTGTGCGATTTCCTGTGGTGACCTAAAAAAGTGAAAAACAAGCAAAATGGTGACATTCATTAAATATTTCATCATAATTTTTTTTTTTTTTACAACACTATTCAAAATGAAAACTTTTGAATACACTGACAAAACAAACCTGTACAAAGTGGAGAAGAAATTACATTTTGTGGAAGACAGAGAAAGAATAAAATGTTGAATCCTGCCAAAGTCGATGGAGGGATTGGACCCAGATGCAGGCAGACACGAGCTACTCAAGTAAAATAATAATTTGTTTATTTAAAAAAAAGAGCAGAAGGAGGACGTAGACATATTTTTAAACCAATACAAAGAGCTACCAGTGATGTAGTGACAAGAAACTGGCTATATGGCAAACTGAGTGAGAGAGGAAGGTGGAAACACTTGGAACTGCTACAGGACAGAGGACTTAAAGAAGAAAAACACAAGGCTCAATAAATCAAAAATGGACAGGCCTATTCCTGGGAACAAAATAACCAATTAAACACAAAAAACCAAAGGATGACCCCGGGCACGTTCACACTGAGAACAAGAGTTCAGGAGGACAGCTTGGAGACCATCCAGCCCATGGACAGAGTTTGGGTGGATGACCCAGAACTCACCCAGACCATAGGCACAGTTCAAGAGGACAGCCTAGGGACTGTGCCGAGTTCAGGAGGATGGCCCGGAGACTGTCCAAACCACAGGCAGAGTTCAGTTGGACTGCCTGGAAACTGTCCAGAGCAGAGTAAGACAGGAGTCTTCCTAGACCATATTAAAATCAGTATGAGCCACAGCAGACAAAACATCCTGCTGCACAGTTAGAGTAGGCAGCAGCAGATGATGAGGCTGAAGCAAAGGACACTTCAGATGCTGAAGCAAAGGACACTTCAGATGCTGCAGCAGAGGACTCTTGGGAGGTGGCTAGTTGAAGAACATAGTCCTCATCCTTCTCAAGAGCAATGCAGAGAGAAGTATAATGATAGAGCAAGAGCCATGGAGCCTAAGGCAAGCAGATGTACCTCATTTTTTCAAAGGTGACGATGTGACCCAGGAACAGATGGTGACCAAGATTAATGGTTGTGGGGCCCTGAAGTCTCAGGTGCTGGAACCCTTTGAGACACTGGGGATGGGCCCCTTGGAGACTCAGAAGAGTCTGGCCCTTGAGATTCTGGGACTGGCCATGGAATGTCTAGGGCCAGCCCTGGAGTTGCTGCTGACAACCACTTGGAGAATTCTGAAGGTGAGCAGAGTACCGCAAAATGGCAAGGTTCAGGAGTGTGGCAGAGTACAAAAGGGTTGGCTCTGCAAATGTGGCATCACTCACGAGAAAGGAAGAATGTTGGTGAGTTGTGGAGCACTGTCGAGTGGAGAGGGCTGGAGGCGAGGAAGAACTTGGCTGTACCAGAGTACTCTTCCTGGCTGACAAAGGTTTAATGGCCAGAGAGATGTACTCCAGAGAAGAGATCTCCTCTCCTCTTCTTCCACCACAAAAGTCAAGGGAAGAATTTCCAACTCCGGGCGATGGTTTTGAGGCTGGTATATTGGTGATGACACTCTGATCTTTAAAACTGCTACACTGGACCACCAGTGGCTTGTTTTCCCTCGCCATCCTTTCCCTCTGTGCAGTCTTGTCTGCTTGACGGGCCAAGAACTCAACCAGGGCAATTTTGTCACTGGGTTATGTTGCTGGGCAGCTCATTCTGTCATGGTTGGTGGAGGGATTAGATCCAAATGTATGCAGACATGATGAGCTAAGATAAAATAATTTTTTTTGTTTTTTTTGTTTATAAACAAAACAAAAATCCAACATGGCAGCAAAAACTTACAACTCGAGAGAACACAAGAAAACGAGAAGAGCACAAGGAGAACCGAGACATACATGTATGGATAAATCGATATGAGCTGCCAGTGAGGTGGTTACATGAGACTGGCTTTATAGCAAACAAGGAGAGCAGAAAGTGGAAACACCTGAAACTGATTGCTGATTGATGGCTGGCAGGTGAGAGAGGCAGGTAGGACTGGAAAAACATCCATCCATCCATTATCATTACCCGCTTCTTCCTTTTTGGGTTGTAGGAGTCACTGGTGCCCATGTCCAGCTATCACTGTGCGAGAGGTGGGGTATGCCCTGAACAAGTCTCCAGTCCATCACAAGGACACATAGGTTGTTTCCACACTTGATAGTACGGTAAACTCGGTTCGGTTGGGGACCAATATTCATAACATTTTGTTTACATTTGAGCTGGTGCGTTTGCATTCATACTGCACTGTGCAGTCGAGCCAACCTGTTGAACCAACCTGTTCCCCACTCGCCTGTGGTAGCACTGCACCAAGAACTACTGAAAGAAACAACACAAAAACCTCTGAAGAAGACACTTCTTCTTCTGGAAATAAAAACAAAAAAGGAGTGGCGTCAAGTTTTATCGGTTTTAGGATTTCTATTTTGTCATTTTTCAACCACGGACTCAGCATGAGTGGAAGATAAGGCAGAAGACCATGGAGAATGTTGTTTTTCACACAAGGCCGCTGACAACTCCATGTAAGGTAAGATAAATGCGTGTTTGTTTGCTCTGTGCTGTAGTCTTGTAGTCACTGCTTGCGGAGCAGTGCCCGTTCTGCTTACATTCACACTGTAATCGAACCGCGCTCGAGTTTTCTTCTACCGGACTGAGACCTAGGTTTTAGCCCGGGCCAGAGTTCGCCTTTTTGTTCCGTGACAGAGTTCGATGGCGAGTTCACACCTCCACAAACAAACCGGACTTCCTAGGCAAACTGGCTAGAGTTCGGAACAACAGGGCTGGTGTGAATGCACCCATAGAGACAAATGAGACAAACAACCATTCACTCTCTCACTCACACCTAGGGACAATTTAGAGTTAACAATCAGCCTAACGTATGTTTTTGTTCTGTGGGAGGAAACTGGAGTACCTGGAGAAAACCCACGCATACACGGAGAGAACATGCAAACTCCACCCAGAAAGGCCCCCGGACCGGAATTTGACCCGGGGCAACCTGCTCACTGAGAGGCAGCAGCTCATCCAACTGCATCACCATGCTGCCCACTGGAAAAACACCGGAGAGAAAACTGAGAGCAAAATGATACTGGAAGACTATAAAGATCAGAAACCATGAAATACAGAAACACAATATAGGGTAAGTATTAACAGGTACTAAGAATTTCAAAACAAACATTTTAAATAAAGAACATAGTCAAAAACAAAATCCAACAAAAAACTCATACAGGGATAATCCAACCAAAACTCACAGGCCTGGATTTTAAAAGTGGACTGTTCTGAAAAGAAGACAAATGTTTATACAAAAAAGCCCCCCAACATTGCAAATGTTCAGCTTGCTGAAGGTAGAATTGGAGATAAATGATTATTTATCATTGATGAGTCAACAGAAAGAGAAATGGAAAAAAAAAAACTTCCCTACATTAGACACTGACATTTATCTCACAAACAGCTAAATCATACTGTCCTCAAGATGAACAGAAAGCTCACGAGGTGATGACCTAAACACACGTGAAGGTAAGGCTCCAATTTAGCAGAGGAAGATTTATGAATGTGACAGCAATAGTGATTGACAGTGACATAAACTGATGCTGAACATGTCCAATCAAAGTGGTACCTTGACATATAAAGTATATACCACTTCCTAAACACCATTTGTCATGCTTTTTTGGATGGTGAACAGTGTTAACCTTTCAGAGATGCTTTTAAAATCTAATGGTGCTGCTACAAAAAAAAGGAGTTTTTGTCATCAGAGTTCAGACTGAGCTGTGCTTAAAACCTTGACTTGTGATTGAAAAGGACAGCTGAGCATAGAAATCTCTTTCCACACTGAACAAAGATGAAAAAGCGATGGAAGTGATTTTTCAAACCATAAACGCCTGAAGGATGAGCTATTGACAAAGTTTTCAAAAGGAATCACTTCTGACGAACAGCTGGATAAATGAAATTAAGTGTTTTTGGGGTTACTAACACTTTTAATTTTGTTATGAAGAGGTTCAATATATGAAACTCATGGTGTTACACCCTAATCAGCTAATTAACTCCTAAACATGCTGACTCTCTCGGGCAGGGCGTGGAACAGGAGCAGGTCGAGAGTCCCTTCACAAAGGCTATAATATCGAATTTATAAAATGCAATTTTTAACAATGACCGACTAGTAGAAAATCCTCCTCAGTCTGTGCCTCAACACATCAGTTTTGAACTGGGAGAGTAGTGAAGCTGACTGTGCTCTGATTTCAGCAGATCCGACGAGAATAGTTGAACTGAAAGTTTTTTAAGTTTTGAACTTTCTTTCAAAGAAGCATTTAGTTTTGTCACTTGAGATTACTTCATGTGCAGCTCTGTAAGTTTTTATAATTATTGTGTGCATGAAGGACAGCTGTAAAATAAGAGAAATTGTATTGTTCAATTCAATTTGGTTTCAGTTCAGTTCAGTTTGTTTATATAGCGCCAAGTCAAAACAGAAGTCATCTCAGGGCCATCCATCCATCCAATATCTTTACCCACTTATTCCATTTTGGGTCACGGGGGTCGCTGGTGCCCATGCCCAGCAATCACTGTGCGAGGGGCGGGGTACACCCTGGATGGGTCGCAAGTCCATCACAGGGACATATAGAGACAAACGAGACAAACAACCATTCACTCTCTACTCACACCAAGGGACAATTTAGAGTTACCAATCCGCCTAAAATGCATGTTTTTGGACTGTGGGAGGAAACCGGAGCACCCGGAGAAAACCCACGCATGCACGGAGAGAACATGCAAACTCCACCCACAATGGCCCCTGGACCGGGGTTTGAACCAAGGACCTGCTCACTGAGAGGCAGCAGCTCTACCAGTTGCGCCACCATGCTGCCTCATCACTGAACAGAAACGTGTGTGTATATATATATATATATATATATATATATATATATATATATATATATGTGTATATGTGTAATGTTAACAAATATTATATAAAAATAATAAGTTAACATTATTTATCTGAGGAGCAGACTGCTTTGAG